TCCGGCTGAACGGTTTGCTAACGTGATGCCATGGGGATGGACTACATGGTAGTTCAAGCTGAGACCGGGCAACTGGCCTCGCAGGAGAGCCACACCCGTTGCCTTCAGAGGGGTGCTATGTCACGCTAGCACCAAATAGCCTTGGGTGCAGGAAACTGAACAGAACAGCGTCCAAGCTCCCCAAAAGAAAGTTTCCACATTTGCTGAATCTTACCTAGTCTCTTCTGAAGAGCAGCAAGAGGAGCAGCTTTCTGTCATTTATCCTCAGCCCAGGACTGCAGGTAGGACAGCTGACATCCTGCAGTCCTCTGTCTATTCCCCTCCACCCCAAATTTTTCATGTTCTCCTGTGGACTGCAGAAAACTCATTGAATAGATGCTGGCAGTGGATCCCCAATGTTATCTTTAGCTCATTTTACAGAGAAACAGAAGACATGCTCTGCCAGCAATTACATCCTTGCGTATAGAGTGGCCCAAGGGACGTACACAACCCCTCCACTGCAACCATCCAGACCTCCTGGTCTCAGCTCCAGCTCCAGGGATGCAAAGCGGACCTGCGAAGTGACCTGGAACGCTTTGCACGTGGCAGGGCAGCAAGCTGAGCTGTGAATGACCCACAGCTGTGCTCAGGGGGAAGCACACTTCCATCATCTGGGCTGGGACGAGCACACAGCAGAGCTTGTTGCTATGCTTAGTACCCTTTTGTTTGGTACACCACGTTTCATTTTGTTTGGATATCGCAGCTGCTTTTCCTGAGGCTGAGCAGAGTTGAAGAGTCACTCTTTGAAACAAAGCGATCTGCCAGAATCATCAAGACTTCTTGACTGATTTCAGGAACAGGATCTGGAGACTTTTTCCCACATGGACAAGCGCGAGCAGAAGTGGCACCTGCCCAGTAATGGAAATGTCCTGGCTGCTGCAAAAGATGGACATTTTTCAGGATCAGCTTGAGGGTTCACCTCATTCAGCTGAGAATGAAGGACTAATAACTTTTTTTTTTTAATTCAACCTTTATATTCATCATTAAACTGCTTTTCTTTCAGCACTCTTTGGCCATATTTCAGAGTCCTTCCCTCAAATAAATGAAAACCAGGAGGCGGACTGGGCCCTCGGCCCTTGCGTGTAACAATCCAGGTTGAATTCCCTCAGCTGGATGCTCACCAGGCTGCCGCGTCCAGCTCCAACCGCTTGGAGCTCGTGTGATTCATCGCTTCTTGGGCTGAGTAGGCTGTGGCACCGCTGGCCTCTCTGGCACACTTCCTACCTACGGCTCTCTCCTTGCTGCCACTTCACAGAAATGGGACCTCCTAGCCTTTTCCTATGGCTTGCTCAGCCCTCGAACCTCGTAGGTGTGCTGGGTGCACGGCCTGACGGGCAGGCAGGCTGCCTGGCAGGGGTGACGCAGGCGTACACAGAGCAAAGGCTCCGTAACAGAATTACTCTTAGCCTAACAACACAGAAGGTGGACAGTTTTAGATAAAAGACTGCTCTCCTCTTCTTTGGTCTGCCTTTGGAGCATAAGGGTGCACCCTGAGACATCCAGATTTCCTCTCCAGCTCCTTACACCTGCTGAGACAGCTTCACTCTGCCAGTCCTGCTGCCTCCCTGCTACAAAAGCGTCTCTCCTCTCCTGCTGCGCATCACTCCTCTCGGCTCCTCTGGTTTTACACCTTCTGGCATCAGCACTAGGCTTTCTTGTGCTGGGACAAATTCCAGTGTCCTGTTCAAACTCGGTCTATCAGGTTTCTCCATTCAGGCACTGCTGTGATGATCCCTGCCGTAGCAATCATCAGGGAGCCAACATGAAGAGCAACAACTGCCCAGTTTTTCCTAGCTTGGAGAACGTCGGAGACAGCCCTGGCAGCTAACTCCACGTTCACCAAGGCATTGAGTGATACAGCAATTTTATAACCTCAGCTACATTTCTCAAGTTGGACAGAGATTCCCTGCATCATCACAGCTGCATACGAAACAGCCCAGTGAGCTGCCGGACAGCTGCGCTTTGGATGTAGACACGCACTGAGAAGCTCTGCTGAGAAACACTCTGCTGGGCTCAGATCTCTTGTTTGGCATCAAATATTTTCTGCTCACTTTGATAGCCCTAGATTTTTTTTCCCCTGGTGTTGAGGGAGATGAATAATCTTTCTGGCTCTAGGAAATGCTGGGGTATCTGCCAAAATCATCAGTCTCTCTCTCTCTCTCTCTCAATTCAGTAACAGGGCAGAGAGCTTTTCCCACACTGATAACCATGAACAGAGCTGGCACCTGTGCAATAATTGAGGCCGTTTCCTTCCAAAGAGGGAAGTATCTAATATTGATTGGAAGATCCATAGAATTCAATCAAGGAGTCACTTCAAGAGCTTGCAACTTCTTTTGAAGACTAGATGTCTGTATTCACCCCCTAAACGGTTTTATTTCAGGACAGAAATTGCTATTTCAGACTCTTTTCTTTCAATAAATGAAAGCCGAAAAAAATCTGGGCCATCGGCCCAGGCGTGTAACAATTCAGGGTTTTTCTTGGCTTTTCTGAGGGTGCTTCTTGCCAGACTCCAAGATGCTGCCAGGATAAATCTGTAAGTCATGGAAATCATGAGTTTCATGACACACACTTTTTCTTCCAAACCCTAACCGATAAAATTAAACATAGTAAAGAGCCCAGACTTTTATCCAGCTCCTTAATTACCATCTGGAGTCTGGCAGCTGAAATAAGATCAGACTTTTGTACAGAAGAGAAGAAAAAAAGTGCTATTAAAATGGAGAAAGAGATGAGACTTTATAAAGAGCGCTCGAGGGCCTCAGCTCGACTGCAAATGCACAAACATGCCAACGCTGTCTGGATCAGCCCTGCAAGGGGCTGAGCATCTGCAGCTCCCTCGGAAGACACTGGGGACAGAGCTGCTTAGCATAGCTGCTTTGGTAGAAATAACGAAATTGCTTCAGTTTTGGTTCTTGTGACCGTTTTGGGACAGGTCCTCTTTGTTTAGGTACCTGTTTGAATAGTGAGTGAGACTCGGTGCAGGAATTAGTGGTTCAAATTCAGCCGTGTGCTCTGGGTGTACTGGGTTTCCAGGACTGATCCTTTTATATCCCTGGAGCTTCTGAATAATTTTTGAAGGCAACATGAGAAAAAGGCTACTGCAAACATTGTCTTGACAGATAAAGGGCAATTTATCACAAAACTGAAACACAGCAGGTTGCTACACAGCACAGTAACCGTGACTTGCCAAGCGCAATTTGCCCATGACAGATGTAAAACGCAAACTAATATTCTGTACGTGTTAAGAGGGACCATTTCACAATGCTGAAAGTAATTATGAGCCAAATCACGTGGGAGAAAGCATACAAATAGGAAACAGCTTCTGACTATTATTTGCATTTTCACAACAATCTATGAGAGGCCAGGAAAGAAGAAAATTCTACACTCTCATAGTTAATATCAAAGCTATACTAGTTTAAACACTGCCTGGCCTAGAAGAGAAGCAAAAGCTGCAGTAAAAATAAAAAACCCCAAGAAACGGGGGAAAACAGCAAGTATTTGTCTTCCTGACAGCGAGAAATCTGCTAGAGGCTAAAAAACGACAAGAAAGAAGTGGCCCTGAGGAGAAATACAAGGTCATCAGAAGGACAAGAAGGAAGTGGTTTTAAATCTACTTGGAACAAAAGAAACCTTACCAATGCACAAATGAGCCATTCGCTATAATATAATTTGCAGTAACACGCGAGACAAAGCAGACCAGGTCAGTAAATATTTTAGAGCTGCACTTAGAAGAAACATAAATGATACCACGTGATGATGAAATACTTTCCATTTCAACAGTAACTTAAAGATGCAGTTAAGTAGGAGTGAAAATGCAACATATTTTTAAACGAGCAGGTCCAAGTAATGTATATCTCAGGCACTGTTTTAACCCTTAATAAGTACAAACTGGTCAGTCTAATTTTGAGCTTCGAAAAGATAATGCTAAGGCTGATATGAAAATGACAGTTAAGAAACAATGAGCAGATAATACAATTGATGCCAGTGCAAAAGGATTTATGAAAACCAGATGCCAAACTAAAGAGGGTCCTGCTTTAGGTGATATCCAAATTAGAATCTCAGTGAACGGAGATTCATTGAGAACGGAGATTCTTGTAAAATACTTCAGTGCCTACAAGATATTTGACTCAGTAACACCACGGTGTGGCTAGACTTTAGGCTGATAATTCATCTGTATGCTCTGTAGGCTGAAAACAGTTAATCAGAGGGATAATTTACCTAGGAAGCCACAAGCGCTGGCTTTTCCACCGTTTTCAGTCCTCCATCAACACAAGTAAAGAATGTGTCTTAAGTGAAGACAGGCTGCAGCTCAACCAGATGTTCTTGGCTCACGAAGTTATTGGATAAGGTCTTTCCAGCTAAATCAAACAAAAAGACAAATCAGACAACTGTAACGCTTTCAAATCCAAGCTTCCATGAATACAGTACAGGCAAGATAGATCTGTAAATCACATGCGATTACAAGATTACCAGTGGGTCTATAAGGGCATATATAGGCACTGGTGGAAAATTTGTTTGGGTGAAGACGATCTTTTAAAAATCTGCTCTCAGCTGAGAACCGTAGGGATTCGGATTGCATCCTGCCTCAGTTTAGGCAGAGCTTAACTAAATAGACATGCACTTCCCTGGGAGCCTGGAGGGACGGTCAGTTTGGACTCTGGTCCACCTAGTTGTTTAGCCACTGTGGGAAATAATGTGGCTACACGTACAGCTGGGATTAAAGGATCGGCCTTTGCTGCAGCTACGAACACATGACCAGTCCTCTCCCTGAACTATTTTTAGATGCTGCTTTCTGCCTTCTTTTTAATTTTTTTCTTTTTTTCTTTTTTTTTTTGCAGTTGAAGAACTGACTGAATGAGACAGAAGATCTCTGGGAAAAGTGTAAGTAAGGAATCAAATCTTGTTATTTCACAAGGTGGCTTCATCTCTCCTGTGAATAAAACACTCGACACCTGTCTTTGCATTGCATGACTGCTTCTGTGTATTGGGATTTCTTTTGTCCACCTCTCGCTTACTGATTAGGGGTGATTTGGCAGAGGTAAAACACCCTTGGTTACCAAACGTCGTAAAGATGACATATTCCTTCTAACTTTATTAACTGAAATGAAGTTATTTAAAATGGTTTAATGTGTTAATAAATATTACTGGCAGCAAAAGGGCCCTGTGTGCGTTCAAGAGTGTACCTAACGTATTCATTTGGGAGGCACAAATCACAGCCAGTTTATGAGAGCTGGCTCTGCGCACAGGGAAAACTCCAGCAACTGCCAATTAAACACACTGCCACCGCACAGTCTGCCCTTCAGCAGCCAGATTTGTGCCTCTCAGTTTTGATTCAAAAAGGGGTCAGAGCAGTAAGAAACAGTTACCAAGTTTCATAAATCTTTCTTTTTTTTTTTTTTTTTTGGTAAGAGAACGGCACGGTCCATCTTGTTTTCTCCCAGAACATTGGAATCTCTGAAACAGCAGAGTGTGCTCAGCAGAGGGACGCAGGAGAAAGGGCTGATTTCACATCGCATTGAAGGAGTGTTTTTCAGGACGTTAGACGACTTCTTAGTGGCTTCACAGCCAACCAAGTCACAGAGCCAGAGCGCTGGAAGCTGGAAGCAGTGCTAGCTTTGCCATCCGTGGGTCTTTTGGCAAGTTCCTTAGTGTGTCTCAGGGTTGGCATGAATAAAATGGCAATATCCTTATATTTTCCTGGCTATTTTTTTTTAATGGGGCTTTAGCTAGTCTTACCTGCATGCTTCATAGCTGCTGAATCCTCTTTGCTGACATGCAGTACATTTATTTACAGATGGACATTGGCACCAGGCAGCTCAAACACACCTTTTAACAGTCCCAGAAAACACTGCGGAGACAATGAAAGTACGTCTCAAAGGGGATGCGATCTGTACCCTTTTCCTGGTGGTAGCACTTGGCTCTTTACTCTATTCCCAGCTAGAGCACTTAGCCCCGGCAGGAAACAAGGAGCTCACACACAAGAAACCTTCAGTAACACAGAGAATTTTCTCTGATCCCAAAGCGCCTGGCCGACCTGTGCCAGTGGAGGCAACAGTACCCAGACCCCAAATAATTCCTATGGTTAGACGAGCAGAGGTGGCTAGTAACAGGGTCCAAACTACAACTTCACCGCCACTGACTGATTCTACCTTCAACTTCAAGCGTTATCTCCTAAACAAAGACAACAGGAACTTCAATCTTCTCATTAACCAGCCCAAGAAATGCAGGAAAATACCCGGAGGTCCCTTTCTGCTCATTGCTATCAAATCGGTGGTTGAAGACTTTGACAGACGTGAGATCGTCCGTAAGACTTGGGGCAGGGAGGGCTTGGTGAATGGGGAGCAGGTTCAACGAGTTTTCCTCCTGGGAACACCAAAGAACAGGACAGTGTTGGCAACATGGGAGACCCTTATCCATCAGGAGAGTCAGACATACAGGGACATTTTACTCTGGGACTTCATGGATACTTTCTTCAATTTGACCCTGAAGGAGATCCATTTCCTGAAGTGGGCTGCTGAATTCTGCTCCAATGTGAAATTTATTTTTAAAGGTGACGCTGATGTTTTTGTCAATGTAGAGAATATTGTTGACTTCCTTGAGAGACATGACCCCACTGAGGACCTCTTTGTCGGGGATATCATCTACAACGCCCGTCCCATCCGTGTCCAAAAGAGTAAATACTATATCCCAGAGACCATGTATGGGCTAAGCATCTACCCAGCCTATGCAGGAGGAGCGGCACTGCGCGGGGCAGCAGGAGGATCTGGGCTCTCCCCGGAGCAGTTGGGCATGTGCTTACAGAGAATCAATCTCAAACCCATTTTGCACGAAGGATTCAAGACCTTCGGCATTGTCAAGCCTTCTGCTGCCCCGCATCTACAGACGTTTGACCCCTGTTTTTACAAAGATCTCATGGTAGTTCACAGTCTAAAAGTTGCTGAGATTTGGCTAATGTGGAATCTGCTCCACAGCCCTCGGCTTTCCTGTACTCAGAAGAAGCAGGTGAAGAAGCCTTTCCAGTGGAAAAAGAAAGTTCAGACAGCAACACAGGCATCACCTTTCTGATCCTGCAGGCAGTCTGCAGCAGAAACACACGGCAAACCAGCTGAGCAAGGGAACCAGAAACTGTTGCAACCAAACACACTTTAGAAGTAGAGTATTTTAGCACATCTTATTTACTACATTAAGAGAAGAGGACAAACTATTGCAGGAGTTTGCCAAAATTCCACATTTGCACACGCATACTATATAGTAGTAGGTCCTTCTTCGCTAATGAGTCAAAATAATCGTAACAATATCTTTAATTTATTATTATTTATTAGACTTGTAGTAGTGCTTAGAGGGCCAATGTGTACAAACACATTGTAAAATGCAATCCTTAGAGATTTTTCAGTATTGTTAGAAATGCGACACATGGGAAGAGAAAGACAGGGTAAGAGATCATACCGAAGAGCACAAGGATGGTTGTCAACTTGTTGCCTTGATTGGAATCACTCGGACTCATTGAGAAATTGCCAAACACAGTAACTAGAGTAAATGAAATCATGCCTCCCCAGTGAATGCTCAAATCAACTCTCCGCTGCCTTGGTGGTTTTCAAAAGAGAGGCGTCAAAAGAGAAGAAAAGAACAGAGCTACTGAAAGAGGGTCCCAGTTAAGGTGGACTACAAGAAAACAAACCGGAGGTCGAGGGCTGGCATGGCTGGTTGAGCAGAGGACAGGTAAGTAGGTAGTTGGGAAGGGGCAGAAGTCTGAAGGGCCTTTAAGGAAAGGATAAGAAGAACTTTCAGCTCATCCCTCTTTATGTCTTGGTTTTCCATTATTCATAGCAGCACATCAGTTGAAATACCTGTCCTACTGATATACTGTCAGGATGCCAGGGGACCTGTCTGTGGCATTTTGGGGCGCTCAGGCTCTCTACGCTATCGGCTGACTGGCACTCCGTGAGAACTCAAAGTCATCCAACAGCAGCTGATCTTCAGAAAGTTTGTATCTGGAGAGCTCTATTTTGGCCTTTTCCTGGTGGGGGCAAAAACATACAGAACTGCTGTTTGTGTCACATTCAGGGAGCTTCTCCAAACCAAAGGAAAACTTACTAATGGACTGGGCTCATTTCTACAGACCCGAGCACTCTTGCACTGCATGCAGCCAACTACAAAGAGCAGCTGAGACTTTTGAGATCGCTAAGCATGTAAGGTGAAGGGTTAGGGTATCCTTCGGACAAAAGGGTTTCAAAACACAGAAGCCTTTCTAAAGGCATTGCAAAAAAGCAAAAACACACAGCAATCTTTCTGTTGGTAGATGCCTTCCCATGTTTCAGTTGCCTCTGTACAGTTACATCTGTAACTGTAGGCATTTGAAGCATCAGACAAGGTGACTGGATTGATTGCTCCGTTTTTCAAACAACGGTCAACACGTAAGCACTTAGACCTGGTTATAACGTTCCTCCCGCTCAGCTGTAGTTTGGGCTCAGTTCTCAAATTAACTATGCACACCACGGAGGAAAACAAGTTGGTAGTATCTTTGGGTATGAAAAATTAAAGGTATACAGCAATATGTTATCTTCATCTTACTGTTCAAACCTTATGATAACGTATTTTCAGGGGGAGGTAGAAATCAAAGGGCCACGAGCTGATCTGGGATATTTTCAGGATGACACCTTGAAATACAAAATGCTCACAGGAGCTTTACGAGTAGCTCTGCAGGGTATGGAAATGAGCCTTGCTGATGGGAGAAACACAGGCGCTCTCCTGTCTGAAGATTGTGTGATAGGCATGTATTTACGCGCTTGTACAGAAATGTATTATCTGTGATTCGTTTACAAGTTGGGAAATTATTTATACTATAATTAAAAGTTAGCAAGGAAACACGCCTCTCTAGTTGTCAGAGTGAGTCTGTCGAGTACGTCTGCGTGTGCGGCTTACTAAGATGACCACCACATATATTTCGCATGAGGACAGCAACATGAAAAGGACAGGTAATTCATTGTTTTGGCTCACCTGGCAAACCTCTTTTCTTATGATAGACGTAATTTAATGGTAATCATAGAAAAGTGAACAAGCCTTACCTTATGTTTTCTTACAATGCAGCTTATCAGGTTCAGCGGTCCTTATTAAGCAGATCTTCCTTTCGGAGAGGTATTGAAGCCTGGCTCCTCCCTCTCTAATGCCTTCAGATCTGTAATCCACCCACGATATAGGATTAATGAGTGCAATCTGTCCAAGACCAAAGTTGTTGTTCAGCATCCATTTGTGCCAGTGCACACACTGACAGCTGGTAGAAACACAACTAGAGCAAACTGCTCACTCTGTTGCCTTAGCCTATGGAATAGATTTTTTTTGGCCAATGAAAATTAAATCTAATATCTATACCTCCTTTTATGGAGGTCAACCTTTGCTGCATGGCCCATTTGACCTCTTTTAAATGTGTGAAAAAGAAGTACTGGCCATAGCACTTTACCTCTCCGAGCAAAACAAAATTTGAAGAGTAAACGCAAGCCCCATGAACTTGAGAAGTTTTGAAAGGGCTTAAGCTGCATCCCAGAAAACTAAACATGTCCGTTTAAAAAAGAAATTCTAAGTGGCTTCTATTAACAGGCTAACTCAATGCTGTGGTTGGGGGTGCATTGCTCCCTTCTCCGTTCTTTTGTTCGTGACTATAATAACCCTTGATGAGAAAAGAAAACGTTAGAAACATACTTTGTGGATTCTAATAATAGCAAGACAAGCAAGCAGACTTCCTTGAGACAGATAAACATCTGAAGCTAATACAGCAGCTTTTATTGAATCTCAGGGACCGATGCAGCATCAAGTTCTTTTCACACTATACCTACGTAGCAGGGTTTGGTCATTTTAAGGAGCCCGCTTGGCTTAAACCTCACATTCAGCACCTCCAAACTCATAAACTGGAACCAAATGCCAAGACTCATCATTAGGTCAGGCCCACTGATGACTTAGAGATAGTTAAAAAAAAAAAAAAAAAAAAGAGAGAGAGAGAGAGCCAAAGACAATGCTGGAAGCAATTGAATGTTAAAATCCTGCGCTTCCTGCCTGCAGTCAGTTTAATTATTCATCTTTCTACAGCAGGTTCTTGGAAGCAAAGCCCAATTACAAAAGCAAATGGTATAGAATAATGGATGGCTCAGAGAATTCACGCTAATCTAAACATTAAAACAGAGACTATTCTCCTGAGTCTGCTGAAAGCTCTTCAGACTGTGCGAGGAAATTACCCCCAAGCCCCTCTGTGCTCACTGGAAGACTCGCTGAGCCCCTGAGCTATGTATTTCAGCCGGAGTTGCAGGCTCTCAGCAGCCCACTGCTGAAGATTAGCTCTACCTTTCCCTAGCTATGCTACTAACCCTATCATAGCTCATCAAAAACAGTCATACTTTAAAATCCAACTTGCTTTTCATGACGTTCTAGGCTTATAGCCAGTATGAAAACCACATGCACACAAACGGCTAAGTTATTTTCATTCTCAGGCATAGCAAAATACTAGTTTACACAAATGGTAATAACGAGAAACGAGGGGAAACTAAACAAAACCAACCGACCGGCTCTTTGAGGATGACTCCTTCAAAGGGCAGCCGACAGCTCCCCCAGCAGTTCCAAACAGCCCACTACCATCCCTCCCATTCATGCAAACGCAGCTCATGGATCTTCTGCCCCTTCCTTCCCTCCCCAGCCCCTCTCCTTGACAAACTCAGTCCCGAGGCCAGGAAAAAACACAATCAGGTGCTCGGTGGCTGTCTTGTGCCCAGGATACCTGACTGAGCTGGAGAGGAGAGGGGTGCGAGAGGCTTCACAGCCTCAGTACTCCTGGATGTGGTGGAGCTACATAGCAAGGAACAAGGTAAACTCAGGAAAACAGGACTAGCACTGGATGCACGAGACAGGAAAGCGCAGGGGTCAGCCAGGGTACAGGGGAGGCGCACGCTTAACAAAGCTTTTTTTTACTAATGGTTGCAAGCTTCCAGTGCAGACACCTTTGAAGCTGTACTTTAAACCCATTTAAGTTCTGCTCTTGGTTAAAATTGAAATGTGTACGAGTTTAGATAAACCCTAGCTTGCAATGGTGCAAAATCCTGTATCGGTTCAGTTTTTCCCCAGGAGAGAGCAGCCAAGGTGAAAATGGAATAAAGCGATCCAAGCTCTGCTTTGATTACTTAGCTGATTGGACCGCATGTTGCATAATCATGCAGGGTTTTTTGCGATGGGTATTTAAAATAAATGTCACTCTGAGGGATATTAATAACGGAATGAAACTCATACGCTGATTGCAACCTGAGGTCTAGGTTGAAAACATTAAGATACTTCCAACAGCAGCATCCAAAATTGTAATATGCAGTAATTTAAAATGAATTAAGTAACAACATTTAAAGGGCAATGCTTTAGGGCATGGAAGAGAAAGGGTGACGTTAAGGCATTAACGTCTGGTCCAGCACAAAAGTCAATGTTACAACACCACCTTCAAAACAGTAAAAGATCCACTCGGTAAACTCCAGCTTACCTTTCCCACTATTTGATGCAGCCAGCGTTTTCAGATCAGGAAAAGGAGCAAGCTTGCCTGCCTACAAAACAAACATCCCCACAAAAGAAACAAAAGCCTTGGACAGAAAGCCTGGCAGAAACCCAGCTAGGGAGCACCTTTATTAGTTACAGCTAAAATTCACACAAGTCCAGTAAGGGATGTGGCATTTAAGTTCGGCTTGAATCCTCCAAGTAACCCACTGTTCCCTGCAGAAGCAAATACCTTTGCAGATATCCCTAGGTAAATTAGTTACACCCTGGGCTTGAACAGCGCCGCCCTAACTCCTGATCCTATTTTGATGCTCAAAAGAGCTTCACTAAGCTTTTTCATTTCCCCTTCTTTTGCTTCAATCTTACCTTAACTCTGAAACGTCCTGGGGCATAGCTTACATGAAAAAGACCCACCCAGAATTAATTCGTATTTTATTCATTTCACAGAAGCGCACAGTGACCTTTTGTATTTATTTGGCTACAAGTGCTGTGTCAAGGTGCGTTTGACAGCACCGCTAGAGAAGAGGACGCCTTTGCGTTTGCGTATCAAGATGAAGGACATAAAACACCACAAAAAGGTGTTTTTGAGACAAAGGTCACACAAAACAATTGTGCCTGCAGAGTTAAAATAGAAGATTTTTTTTTTGTTGGCATCAAAACACTTACCAAAAACTATTCTGAACTCAAGGAAATGTCAAATGCAATGGGCCCACATGAAATTCTGCCGCATTAGACATCCTGGTACTTGTGCAAGTACTGTAAAGTAAGCAACAGCTACAGCTTAGACCCAACGTTTCTTTCAAAGCACCAGCCACACACACTACAAATTTGTTCTCATATATGTTTGGAAGCCTCAGACAAACAAAACCGTAACAACAGTTTAGATTTGTGACGTTGCTCTCATATCCCATAGGAAAAGTCTGCGTGAAGTGGGCGCCAACGCCCTCAGTGTCCCTTTGGGAAATATCAGCTGGAATCCAACTTTGAGCCAGACCCTGATAACGACGACTCCCCATCCCGCTGTAACGCTGAGCTGTACGAAAGATTTCGTTCTAAACAGTTTTGATGGGCGTTCTGGCATAGGAACAATCGTGAGCGCACAAACCAGGTTTAACATGCTGCCCACCTATTCTATTCCAGCCAAAAAAAAAAAATCTGTTTAGAATTAGAAGCAAAATGGTTCCTGGCAATAAAAAATTAGGTTTTCTTGACAGGAACTGCTCCTTTTGAGAACAGGGGTTTCTAGTACTGTACAGCAGCACTGATCTATACAGCACCGCTTGTAACACCAACAGGAGCCCAGGGACTGCTTGCAGGCCTAAAGAGTACGGGAAGCTTGGTCAGCTCCACCTCCAAAAAAAAGGGGCATGAAAATCAGTTTTTTTAAGCGTAAGCAAATGAAACAACATGGAAAAATATCGGTGTATTCAAGTCAGGCAGGCAGACGCACGCACACCTATACAAAGTGAAAAGGCACACATCAAAAAGCAATTGTAGACAGAACGTATTTTAATAAAAATGCAACTGTACTTAGTGTTGTATCAAAGGAGACAGTTTTATCATATGAAACCAAAATGATGGACCAGCATCCATGTTGCAACACCACAATATCCGCATGAAAAAGCGCACTATAAGCTGTTAAGTAGAAGGGCATACGCTGAGATGGCTTCTGGCACAGCCCAAGTCTCTCCGTTGCTTTGGGAGGCGAAGGCGATGCACCCTGCCCAGGGCGCCCGGCAGAGCTCGAGCTGGCACGTCGCGTCACAGCGAGCACACCTCCGCAAGAAACAACGGGTCTTCGCTCGAACAGAGCAGCCTTGTCCTGGCCTCTTCTTCCTGCCACGAAGGCCATCCTCACGGTCTCCCCCGGGGCTCCTCTTCTTTCCTCTCTCCACTGCGGTGATACAGAACTGCCATCAGCCCCCAGTCCCACAGTTTTCACGGCAGCAGCTCCTCAAAAGACTCCGCACCAGCTGCCCTAAGGTATCTGCACGCGAACGGCTTGTCTTGGCCTCATCCAAACAGCAGCAAACAAAACATCTGGGAGAAGCGAGCTACAGGCAGCTGCAATTACAAAGGAAGGGAGGGGAAGCCAGAAGAGGCATTCAGTCTCCCCGTGCCCTTCTTTAGTCCTGTGACGCCCAAAAGTTGAACGCTTTGCCTTCAGCCCATCAGCAGCAGCCAAGACGCAAAGCTGCCTTTACCTTCCGCCTGTCACGGAGGAGGTTTTTAAGATCAAGGGACTAGTTTGAGCTGCATGTTGCATTTAACATGTCTCGGGCCTGGCCTAGGCACACTCCCTCACACTGCTGATGCGCTGAAAGCGGAAAAGAAGCCTCAGAC